AGAAAACGTTGCTTTCACGTCTTCTTTTACTTTTTTTCTCATTTCTTGTTCGTGAGCCTTAAGGTGCCATTTCTCAGCCTCTGCATTTCCTTCTCTCGGGCTCGGAAGCGTAGCTCTCATCTCAAAGTACTATTGCTCATCACCATATGGGATAAGGCAATTATTAGGCATATAAATTTTCATTTTATAGGACAGTTCTCATTCCCCGAGGCCAACACTTACTGTGGTAGATCTCATTGCTTTCACCCATTGCTTTCAGTCAACCACCCGTGAGTATAAATTACTGCTATCCCTGCAGTGGCAGCACCTAGTGGACCCAGTTTGGCTGGAGTTGCGCAGTGCTGGGCACTGTACAGGCTTACTGAAAGATCAAGCCCTTCTCTGAAGGACTCACAAACCTAACCTGACAAGCCTTGTGACATGCATATGTAAGGAAATTGCCTTTACATATTTTTGTGCATTCCTAACCAATGTTTCAATTATACCTAYTTGTCCTTTAGCCTGTTCTTAATTAGCTGTGGGTATCATAGAGGGAATGTATAAACACAGAGATCAAAATATTTTCTRAAATAGAAACTAGGGCGGCTTGATTGTGGATTTCTCTTTCTTGTTTTGATTCCTTTTCTTTCTGCATCAACATTTCTTCAGTTATCAGTAGCATCATTGTATTGCTCATAATTACTTTCTGAGGAAGAACGTCAAATGTTCACTGTTTCTATTCAGACTATTAAAATTGCTCTATCAATCATYCTGTTTTGAAAAACATAATAAATTCATCCCTTTTTGGATGGCTATAAGAAGTTGCCAGCTCTTTCTCTTGCCCCAAATAGTATGAGAAGATAGGTAATGGCATCTTGCTGAAGTCATGTTCTTGTTCTCTGAGTAAACTGGTCCTGGGGACCAACTARAAGTCTGTGGGAGGTGTAATTCTTCCTGATGATGCCTGAGATGAATTACCAGCTTTCTGCATATTATCTATGTTGCATTTGATCTAAGAGGTCTCTGATAGTGTCCCAAGGCCTCTTAATAGGCTACGTATAACCACGCAGTGGAGGGCAGTGATGAGATTYACCTACTCCTCGCTAATTACTTCAGTTTGAGGGCTAAGACTTACCAAGCTTGGAGTGTCCTCAGCTCTGAGTTGGTGCCTGCCCCTGTATATGGTCGAGCCCCAGTAAAGCAGGCTGGAAGAATAGGCTGGACAAAATTAAATCTTTGCATGTGAAAGACGTCTGGCCAATGTGTTTGYAAAAGCCGCTCCATCTAGTGGCAGCCACTCTGCACAGCCAGGCTGGCAGTGCCAAGCAAAAGCCACAGGTTGCTGGGAGAGGTAGCGTACGACTGTATCTTGTTGTGGTTTTATTCCTGAAGATACAAGATGCTTGAAATTTGTGTCCATTTTTCAATGTCTCCCCGTGGTTGAAATTCCTTGCCATTGCTGATCACTGCGCGCAGKCAGGTGGTTGCACGGGAAGTTTTGAGAGCCACGCTGTCCTGCAGGGACCTTTGCTGCAGTGCGGAGCTGTCACCGGGAGCCTCCGAGGACCCGGGATTTGGGCTGAGCCCCTTTGTCCTCAAGAGAGGCTGGAGAAGAAGCAGCTGCAAAGGCTCCCAGCGTATCCCCCKTAGCAGCCAGCAGTGGCTTTCGGGCAGTCGTGGTTTGGGTTGCACCAGGTTGAGCCGCAGAGGGTGGCCTGGGTGCACGTGTGGAGTCCCCTTCCTGGCCTTTTTACTGGTCGGCTGTGAAAAAGTTGCTGCAGCTCAGTGCTGGAGCTTGCACTGGGGCAAGCTAGTATCTGAATTCAAACAAACTGAAGTGTGGTAAAGTACAATGCCAGATCATGCGAAGAGCTGTTTTACTGCAACTTTAATAAAAATCAACTGCTGCTTGAATAGGTGCATGCACACATACTGCTAGAAATTTCCAATTATGATATTCCCAGCAGCAAACAAAAACAAAATTAATGTCAGCTGCATCCCCCAAAGCCTAAACTACGCTGCTAATGAACTCCCAAGCACTCTCAAAGAAAACTCTTTGCAGAAACAATAAGGTGGAAATTACTGTAATAATCTCAATGTAAAAATACAGAAGGAAAAAAAAAATCATTGAAATTCCAAGTAAGCCCTGCCTCTGCTGATCCCATTAACCGTGTTGTTAGCAGAGCATATGCGGGCACGGCGATATTGTCACATTACTCAGTGACACCTTTAAAAGCGCGCCCAGGAATTCACGTTCTCTCATTTGTATTTCAAACAAAAGGTAGGGGTTGAGGCACGGCGTGTACCTTTCTATGGGCACATGTCTACTAAACATGACTCCAGCAGGGGCTATGCACCTCGTAACAGTTTGTTTGTCTCTCCGGCAGAAGTGCTCAGTTGCGTATGATTTTTGAAGCTTTACTCGAACATAATCTTCTCAACATGGGGCTGTGGCTTTAATCATTGAGATGGTTGTCTTCCTTCTGTCAGACGTGAGCTGGCGTCACAGAGAACACCACAGCCATCTTCACATGTTTACAGACCTCCTTGATTATATGTAGGATTTTTCTGAGTTTTCAAATGAATAACACATTCTTCACTCTTCTTTTAAAACTAGTGTTACTATGCCAAGACTGAAGTTGCCAGATTTCACCCCGAAGCAGACTTGTCACTTGTTAGCAGGGTCAATTTTTGCAACACGTAGGATCTGCAAAATCTACTAGGAACAGCTGTAAAGCACCTTCTGGCAGAAGAGGGCCGTATGTTCAGTCTAGTGACGTTCATTTTCAATGCACAGCTCTGTGACATTTCCCTCACTCGCTGCTCCAAGCCTCAAAATTAAGTTCTTTAACATTGTTTAGGATTGTCTGTCTGTTTTATAATTATTTTATTGCTCTGCTGAGCCAAGGGGCCTGCAAAAGTTGACGCAGCAAGTGCCTGTGTTGTGCATTAGACCATCCTGACAAGTGTTGCTGTGTTGTTTATGCTTCTTGTTTGTGCTACTGAAGTTGCACTGTTTTCTGGAGAGCTGGGTTCGTGYGTTTCCTTTAAAAAAGCACTGTCCAGGCCTGCTGAACCAAATGGAAGGCTTCATATTAGTGAACTGTGTAAAAAGTCTGGAGTGTCCAGATGCTGCCAAATATAAGTGCACTAAAAAGTCTCACTAGCCAAATGATCTCCACTTTGTTTTGGAAATGCTGATGATTTTGTCTATTTTTAGGTATTTGCGTTGTTGTAGAGAGAAAGCCTTTTCCTCTTGTTTTTAAAGGAAAAGCTGATCTATATCACTTGCTGCACGAGTATCCTCTTTAGGAGCTGATGTGATTGGTACTCTGGATTTTAGCTGCTAATATCTCATGGCCTTTCCAGCCATTTATCGTCAACTGTATGAATTGCACAGATTAAGTCATTACGAGATTGTACATGGTATCACTAATTCCTTCGGTGTTTCAAACAATTTCCTCTGCTCTAAGTGCATGAAGAAGCTTTTAGTATTACTGGTGCTGATGTAATTGTCTACATGTCCCATAGCAGATGCAGCAGTGCTGTAGCACACAAAAGCAGTAATTCTGTCTCTTCCTTAAATTAAGACCGCTCTGTGCCACTCTGGCCATGGAAAGGCACCTTAAAGCAGATGTTCAATGCTTATTAAAGGCATGTTATATGAGGAAAATGGTATAAAGGGGAGCAGTATAAGCAGAGCTATAGAATCTCTTCCATGTCAATGCATGTAAGATGCTGAGATGCTGATGAACGTTTTTCCAACAGCAGCCCATCAGGACTTAAGTCCCGCACAAGTCATCACCTGTGTATGAAGGCTGGACATGGTTGGACTCAGAGCTATGACTGCCTGGGGCCCTTCTCTTGGGATCCCAACATCTAAGGATGTCCTCAACGGGAAGAGTTACATTTCCATGAGTTTTGCATAAGCAGAGGCTCCTAGTCCTCTTTGCCTGAGTTTTGGATCAGAATATTTCAGAATATTTCAGAACATTTAAGGTTGGAAGGGACCTCTACAGATCATCTAGTCCAACCTTCCTGCTCAAGCAGGCACACCTAGAGCATGTGGCACAGGGTGGCATCCAGGTGGGTTTTGAAGACCTCCAGAGTAGGAGACTCCACAACCTCCCTGGGCACTCCAGCCCAAACACCACTGTGCCCTGTTTTTCTAGGCAGCAGCTCTGCTTGAGGCTTCTAATTTGAATAAAATAGGTCTCTGTTACAGGCACAGATTTAGCAGTGCTACTCACTTTTCCTGGAATTATGGATAGAGCTGGGTAAAAAAACACCTCTTTCATGTGGTCGAGGCATTCCAGTTGCTTTGGTTTGGCTAGGAGAGAAAAAGTTATGTGTGTAATTAATGTGTAATAAAGAGTATTGAAGCTCTCTTTACTTATAGATGAAACAAACAACTTGCTAATAATTTTTCAATAGCAAATCTAGGATCTTACTGGACCTCAGATTACTGTAACAGGACATTGGGAATATACGGGCATACCGGGTGACTTGTGAGGATCAGAGTGCTTGACTCCTCCTCTGTTTTGCCTGTTTTTAGGAGTCCAGCACTCGTGATGCTTCCTGAAAGGGAAGCAATAAAAGGGATTGTTCAGTTTAAGGATATTCCTGCAGTGGCGCTTGGTGTTGTCTAAATGAAGCGAGCCCAAGGAAGATTGGTCTACAAGGCATTTTGCAATCAGAGCCTAAGTTTGGATCTAGGGAAAAATCTTTCTGGTGAAGTGGCTCAAAGCATTTTGATGAGAAATGAAAATTACTTCCCTGCAGCATACTCCACTTTCTGCACCTTCTGTTTATGAGCCACTTTCTAGTGAAATTCTGATTTTAGTGATTTTCAGATGTTTGCTCTTTAAGTGTCCGATTCATCCTCACTACTGCAGGTGGTCGCAACTAGACCTACACTGTGTACAGGAGAAAGGTCAATGTTGTTTGACACAGTTCAACTAAGTTGTTTGTGGAGTTTCTCCCTGTTTATCTTAATGAAGTTTGATCTTTTCCCCCTCTAGGGTTTCCTCAGATGCGTTTTTCYCTCCCCAAGTCTCTCTGAAACCAACATAAAACAAGACCGGGGTTATGAAGTCAGTTCTAGATGGCCTCGCGGACACCACTTTCCGAACGATTACAACAGATCTCCTTTATGCAGGCTCCAACGACATCCAGTACGAAGACATGAAGGGTGACATGGCATCCAAGCTGGGATACTATCCCCAGAAATTCCCCCTCTCTTCCTTCAGGGGTGATCCATTCCAAGAAAAAATGACTGCAGGAGATGATCCCCTGTTGAGCATAATTCCATCCGATCAGATCAATATCACAGAGTTTTACAACAAGTCCTTCTCCACCTTTAAGGATAACGATGAGAATATACAGTGTGGGGAGAACTTCATGGATATGGAGTGTTTTATGATCCTGAACCCCAGCCAGCAGCTGGCTATTGCAGTCCTGTCCCTCACGCTGGGCACCTTCACTGTCCTGGAGAACCTCCTCGTCCTGTGCGTCATCCTCCACTCCCGAAGCCTCCGGTGTCGACCCTCCTACCACTTCATCGGCAGCCTGGCCGTGGCCGACCTCCTGGGCAGCGTGATTTTTGTCTACAGTTTTGTTGATTTCCACGTTTTCCACCGGAAGGACAGCCCCAATGTCTTCTTGTTCAAACTGGGTGGAGTTACAGCCTCCTTCACCGCCTCCGTAGGTAGCCTTTTCCTCACGGCAATAGACCGGTACATATCTATACACAGGCCGCTGGCCTACAAAAGGATTGTTACCCGACCAAAGGCCGTCGTGGCGTTCTGCGTCATGTGGACCATCGCCATCGTCATAGCTGTGCTTCCGCTGCTCGGCTGGAACTGCAAAAAGCTCAACTCCGTCTGTTCGGACATATTCCCCCTCATCGACGAGACGTACCTGATGTTCTGGATCGGGGTCACCAGCGTGCTCTTGCTGTTCATAGTGTATGCCTACATGTACATACTGTGGAAGGCTCACAGTCACGCTGTTCGAATGATTCAGCGTGGCACTCAGAAAAGCATAATCATTCAGACTACGGAGGATGGGAAAGTACAGATCACTAGGCCTGATCAAACTCGTATGGACATCAGGTTAGCCAAAACCTTGGTCCTTATCCTAGTCGTACTAATCATATGCTGGGGCCCTCTCCTCGCCATAATGGTGTACGATGTCTTTGGGAAAATGAACAAGCTCATCAAGACTGTCTTTGCCTTCTGTAGCATGCTCTGTTTGCTGAATTCGACGGTGAACCCCATCATCTACGCGCTGCGGAGCAAGGACTTGCGGCACGCGTTCCGCAGCATGTTCCCCAGCTGCGAGGGAGCCGCGCAGCCGCTCGACAACAGCATGGAGTCCGACTGCCAGCACAAGCACGCCAACAACGCGGGCAACGTCCACCGGGCGGCCGAGAGCTGCATCAAGAGCACAGTGAAGATCGCCAAAGTCACCATGTCTGTCTCCACGGACACAACCGCTGAGGCGTTGTAGGCCTGAGACTTCTCAGCGTTGCGCAGGAAGGGGGGAAAAATAAAAAAAGTTTGAAAAATAAAAAATGAAAAAATAAATCAACAACAACAGAGAAAACCAAACCCGTGGCTTAATGTGTTTGTACCCTCCTGTAATACTTTACTTGGTTTGTCATTGTAAGCTAAGCGATGATTGTGTTTAGAGCATTACCATCAGCCAGTCCTGCAAGTTTTACAATTAGGGTTTCAAATGAAATTCTCAAAAGTTTTCTTTTTTTTCCTTGTAAAAAGTATTTACCGAATAATAGTGAGTTTTCTGAAAGAGCACAGTGAAAATACCGAATTAGCAGAAGTTCCTTCTGGGCATGTAAAGACAAATTGTGAAACCTAATTGAAAACTAATGCATCCTAAAACAATACCATCAAATAAGAAAAAGCTGTGTAATCATGGTGTTCATTTCAATGTGTAATGTATTTCACGTTTGTAAGTAATAGGAATTTTTAATTTTTTTTTCCAAAAGCGGCAGTGCTGAGTTTTAGAGATTTTGTAAAATGTGTTGTGTCCTGTGAATTGTATGCTGTTTTAATCTGTGTTATTGATATTTGTCTGATTAAACAAAGTGATACGGTAGACTTATGTGGAAATAATGTGAAACGTGTGGTATGTAAACCCCATTGAAAACACTTGCTGTGTTTGAACAATTCCTATGAGTTATACTAAAAATTTTACACTTTTAGTGGTCTTCTGTGGACTTAGAGCAGAGGCTTTGTGTTCTTCTACTAAAATTATTTCCCCATTACCTTTTATTTTCACATGCATACGAGAATAACAGCAACAAGGGAATAGAGAAGGAATATAAGAGAGRAATGCACTGGTCCAGACTTTTAAATACCACTGCGTTTATACAGAAGGACATTCACTGTTGTACAGACTCTTGCCCGTCTCTCGGGCCCTGTGTGAATATGAACACTGAAAAGAGAAGGTCCTGGATATTGGCTCCCTTAGTGGGCAATCGTTTTTAGTGCCATGCTGGTGCTGGACCTCTGAAGACAGCATGTGTAGGACGCAATGTGTAATGCCCTCACTGTGCAGTTGATGTATACTTGAACTCTGTTGCATTCCTGTATCCCAGGTCTAAGCAGACTCAGAGCCTGCGATGCCACACTCCGGTCTTCACTAAGAGAGGAGGAAATATTGTCAGACTTAGACATTTTCTTATTGTGTGAGCGTGTATATAAGTAAATATCTATGTGTGTGCGTGTGCGTGTGTGTGTGTAAGTACACTAATGAGTGTGAGTCATGGTAGCATAACTAAGATAGGACACTCTGACCAAATGTAAACTGTTTTTCTTGTTGCACGCTTTGCACACAAATYCTGTTTCTAAAATTGAGTTCTTCCAACTGGGGAGTGATGAAGGTACCATATTCAGAAGATGCAGATCCGCACGGAGATGCATGCATGTGTTAGGGAAAGTAGCCTTTTAGTTACACTTGGGAATGAGGTGAAGCAGGAGGCAGAGAATGGCATGAGCCAGCTCTGGAACCTGAAAGTGGGTATTGAAGGTGTTCCTGAAAACTGAGAACACCAGATATGAATGGCAATTTCTTTTATGTTCTTTAGTATTTAAATCTTACTGTTTGCAATGAGGTGGGTCTCACTGTGAAGCTAGGATACAGTTGGCAAGGTTTGACACCATCAGCTTCAAGGCAAGGAAGGAGAAATTATTGAATGAATATTGCAACTTTGTTCCATGACAGAACTGTTTTTTGCCATCTGGGACATTATCGAAGAGCATGTTTTTGAAGGAGCCTTTGGGACATGGCTGTCCTGTAATTTCATTCTAAGTCAGAGGTATTGAGCCTTGCCTTCTGCTGCCTTGTACTTGGACCATCTCCTGATGTTGTTCAGGCTGATTTCTGCCAAATCACTGTTAAGCCAGCTTAGTTGCCTGGGAGGAGGCACAAAAGAGGATATTCCCTTTTTTTTGGCATGGGGCTAGTGGGGCCCGCTGTGCACTATCCTGCAGCCCTTTCTTGGGGGTTGCTAAAGGAAAGGGAGTACGGCCGGAGCTCCTGGATGACTTGATGTCCCCATGGCCTTTCTGATATCTCAGTGCAAGTCAGAGCAGTCAGTAGCATGAAAGGCCAAGTTGCTTTGGGCACCAGGACAGTGGAGGTTCAAGCTCAGCGAAGACTTGATGTAGCATGGCAAGAGCATTCCCATAGGATGTGTGCGTCCTTCTCAAAGACCTTTCTCCTATCTAGATGTCGTGCATCCTAAAGCAATCCTCTAGGCACTGGCAGGTGGGGAAGGCCCACTTGAAATGTAAAAGTATTTTAAGAGCCATTTTTGAAACTGTCTTCTTGTGAACTAAATGCAAATTTCGTGGACTTATGTTGTGTACTCAAGTTCTAAATTTTACATGATAAATCATGGGACAATGGGGCTGTCTTGGCACTTAAATTGGTGCTTACTGATATAATAAGAAATAGCATCCTGTGAAACATTGCTGTCTATCATCACTATCTTCACTGCATAATGAGTTTTTCTAACGCTCTGGGAACTGTGTCGGTTCACATACAACCATTTATTAAAGAGCTGGCAACAATTTCCCTGCAAGTTGCGCACTGAATAGAACTACTCTGTCATTAGAAAATCCGTAGCCGTTCCAAGATTAGCTGTACTAAAACTTCTGCTTTAGGTATTCCTAATTTGCAGTTGTCTACCTTCACTTAGTGATAGCACAGCCAAATGRTAACTGTGTGCCACCACCACCCACACTGTCATCAAATAACTATAGTTCAGCTATGTATACTTACCACCTTCAGGTGTTGTGTATCTATAAAGAAGACCATCTATGTCACATGTGTGCAGAGTTAGGATTCTCAACAGTCTAATTGTATATTTGTAGAATATAATCTCCTCAATGCTGTGCAATCACTATCCATGTTTTCTTGCACTGGCCTTTTGACAAAAAAATGTTAGTGTGTCTATTGTGAGATAGACAGCGCATTTTACCTGCTGTTATTGGGCTGAATGTATGTAAATAAGTGAAAAATAAAAAAGTCATCTGTACAAGCAGTGGCCTAAAAAGTCTGTAATTGTAGRCTAGGACAATTGTTGAAGTTGCTGTGACATCTCAAATACTACCTTTGAATAAACTGTTTACAGGGTCTCTTGGGATGCTGTTTCATAGAGAAAGGAAAAAATCTTTCCTTGTGATAATATGAGGTAAAGAAATTGGATTACCTGAGCTTTTTATTTCCAGTGTTTCAAAGTGGAGAACATAACTCTTTATTGTCTGTAAATCTAACATTATTACTTCCTCTTAGAAGAATATTGTATCATTAGATGTTTGTTTGAGCTGGTAACATCCTTGCAACTGCTGCAATATCTTTCGTTAGCAACCTGTATAATAGTTTGTACACAAGTACTGTTCAGATTGTCATTAAAAGTAGCTTTGACCATTTACCTACCAGTAGCAGAAGAGCATTTCTGTCAGATTTCCCAGTGTATTACTACCATATCATATTTTATTTCTATAATGTAATTAAACTGTTATTTATTCAAGGAAAAAAAAAGTATTCCTCTACTTTTTTTGTCTTCCAAATTCTGAGATGACTGAGGGAGCCACGTGATGATGCCGCCTCATGCCACAATCTGGTGCTCTACGGTTTGTTTATAGGTTTGTCTGTCAGATTCTAAAACAACTGCTTAAACAACTTGACAACAGGTTGTCAAGCCTTGTGGGTTTTAATTGTACGTTGATATCTTTGAAGGAGGAGATAGATTATGTATTTTATATTTGTATATTCACTACTATGGAGACAAGAGAGAAATTACATAGTTAAAACCAAATCTCCTGTTCTATTATGCAGGCCATTTCCCCTTTCCTCTATATTAGGCATATAATACAAATTAATACATTGCATACAAAATGCAATAAATCTCTTTGGTTTTCATCACATGCATATGTTTGCACAAAGATGTCACATTAAGGAAAAAACAGACTACAGAAAAAGCAAAAAAGCAGAATAAAGAACTGCAAACTAAAATAGTGCTGTCAATAGCAACAACAACAAACTAAATTATTTCTTGGCAGATGTAATAAAAGATGTGAGGCAAACGCAGAGTCTAGATTTGGCCACTGCCACTGGGCACGGAGATCCAGACATGTGTGAGGATGCTGGAGTTATGTAATGGGACACACAGAAGTGGTCCAAGGAGGAACATGCACTCAACCATATAGTTAGGCCAATCTAAAGGGCTCCCATATCTGCTCCTCTGCAGCCATGCCACAGAAGGAGTCCCACTCATTCCAAAGGATCAGTTTACCATATGAGTTAAGCTTCGATTCAGATTACCCAGGCAATTTTCCTTTTCCACATTTGTGGTGTCAAAACTATTGACGTCCTTCATGGATGAAGGTGGCATGTTCTATGGCCTTGTATCATGGTTTTGACATATTTGTATTTTTAAATGTTGAATTGCTGATGAACGCTATGAAATTCTAGGCAAAAGCATCTAGAGTTGAAAGATTAGATCTTAATCTCTGACTGCATGCCACATTTAAATGAAGAAGTCTGAATGTTTCTGCTGAAAGCTGTCACTATCAAAATAGCCAGGGAGACAGTTCTGCATGTATTAGCATGTTCACTAGTAAGTAAAGGCTATACTGTCACAAATTGACGTTTCCTTGTGACAGTAACACATAACTGCGTTTGTAAGTCGATTCTAAACAACATAACAGGAAATAATAATTTTCCATGCAATTTTTTTCTCATTTTATACCAACACAAGAAGCATGCCAGCAAATATACTGTGGTCATTTCAGTCCTTCACATGGAAGTTACTGGTTTTGCTCTTCTGGTAGTTGCTTTCAAGAGTCACAAGATCGTCTGCACACGGAAAAGTGTAGTTTTGATCAATAAAATATCTGCATTTTATTCTTTTTTTGTAAAGAGCTATTTCTTGTCTTCAGTAAAGGTCCAGCTTTTAGTAATGAAAACTTAACATCTGGGAACAAATTATAGAAGACACAAAAATCAATGTTTTAATTGCTGGCTACGTTTAAGAAAGCATAGGGTTTTTTTTTTTCCTTGATAGTTTAGAGTTCATATCCTTTATTCCAACTTTGTCCCTTGGTCTTTTTAGGCAATGGCTATAAAGAATATCATCTTTTTTTTTCTTTTTAATAGCAGAACAGCATATGACAGCACATATGATATGATTGTCTTTAATGGGTCTCCTTTTTATGAACAGCCATCTAATATTAATGTTTAAAATTCAGTTCGCAGAAAGAGTAATGATGAGCCAAGGTAATCCTAACGACTGGGTATGACATGCCCTAGTATTGCTTTCCAATAAATCATCTGTGCTATTCAGAGGAGCACTCAGAGTAATGTTGAAGCAAATTAAGGAATGARATCCTGTCCCAATAAAGTCACTAAGAATTTGTTACTGACTTCAGCAGAAATGATATCTTACCCCAGTTTTCAAACTGTGAGTCTGCATTTGGAGACGGCAATATTATATTACATAGTACTTACATTTTCACTGATATTAAAACAAAGCCAAGACAGGATAAATAACAACCTCTATGCCCATTCTTTTTTTTTTTTTTTCTTTTTACCTCCAAGATAATCCATTTTCAATTCTGGTGGGTCAATGCAGAATCATAATGCCTGGCAGGAGTTCAATGGACTGGACATAGGAGTAAAGCAATTTATTTATCCATATGTGTGCAGATGGGGGTGGAGARCATCATGAGCAAAAATGCTTTCACAGAAATGCTGACAGAGGCACTTTCGACCACTTGCATCGATGGTGCTTTGATGCTGCCTTCCTCCCCTCTCTGCCTGTCTTTATATATGCACATATGTGGATGGGGGTGTATGAAGACAGGCTCCACAAATACTCAAAATCTCTCTCCAAAAAACACCCTTTTAACACGTAAAGCATAATAGCAAAAAGAAAAATAAGTAAAACAAATAAATAAATACAATAAATCAAACAAACTCTGCCTTTGGCACAGCAGGACTGGGCTCRGCATCACTTCTGCACCAGAGCACGAGAGCTGGAGAATAAATGTCTCCAGGATTTACGTCATAGAAATGTGCTGGAGACACGGGGGCTTGCTTGCCTCACTCCCTAGTTAAGGAGCAAGGATTAGAAGGCCTTATCTTARTAGAGGATCACGGGGAATTATACAGGCTAGGGATCCATCCAGTAAACACTCCTGCCAAACCTTCACAGGGGAAAAAACAAATGTTCAGATCCAGTAAGTCCCTTCATCAGCAGCCGGGGAGCGGAAAAAGTCAATCATTGTCTCTGTAAAGCCTAATATGCCACCTAAGCCAAAGGCATCTTTAAATTATGCACATCACACCTACCTGCTACCAGCATAGCCTGAGCGGGCAAAATTAATAACCGGCATGCTCTCTAAATGCGAGGTTTAAAGCTTGAGATAGCCCGTTAATGTCTAAATTGAGTAATACTATCAGGCATGAGAATTGCCGTTATCTGCCTCCATATCTTTGCCTATTTATTTGGGGGCTTTTATTTCTTCTTATTAAAGCACTGATAAAACCTGCCTGGCTGACAGCTGCGGCGAAGGGCCTGTCTCTATTTTCTTTAAGAGACAGGGGTGCTGGTGGTGCTGGGTGCGCAGACGCTGCTGAAGACAAGCCTGGGCAGGAGGTGAAGAGATGGGGTTCGACACTTGGCAGCAAGCCTGGCAGGAGAAAAGGGCAGAGCCTTCCAGAGCTGCGTTGCGTGCCCGTCCTGCCAGCCCCTGGTCTTTTTAACAATGATGTGTAAGAGAATAGGCAAGAGACGGGGCAGGATTTGCTCTCCCCGTGCAAAAATGCAAACCAGAGGTTAGAGGCACTTCCCAAAGGATTGTGTAAGTGCCAGTGTGGGGATGGGCAGCCCCTTCCAGCACCCCAGCAGCCAGTGCTGAGCACACAGCCCCTTCCGGACAGGCTCATGTGGGAGCGAAGGGCTCCCTGGAAGGGATATGGCCAAAACTGTTGTGCCTGGGGACTGGGGTCTGCAGTGAGAGCCTTGGGAAGCACCTGGAGAAGTGAAAAGAAAGGCTGAGGAAAGTGGGCCGGAGACCATGCGATGTCTGTTTAACTTCATCTACCCCAGGAAGGCCAAGCGCCTGATTTAGCTTAGTTAAAGGAGTGACATGTCACACTGAAATGGCAACATGAAATACAAAACAGTTTTATCTGGTGCTGGAAGGGAGGACAGTTTCTGTAATGACCAGCAGCTGACCCCTTAGACAAACGCATAAACTGATGCCTTTTAGGTTCTGTTATTTGAGACACTCAGCCTTGCCTTCAGGCAAGGCTGCTCACCGTTTTGTTATTTTTTAATCCTGTGCAGAACACTGCTGGGCCCTGCCACTGCTTTTCTTCCTTACTGAAGACATGGCAAAGCTACAAGCTGTCAAAGAAAGGACAGAGCCTTCAAACTCAGTGCTGCGCTGTTCTTGCTCCTCTGCTCTTTGCCCTTTCTTGTTGATTATAAGAGTTTTAAATAGTTGCTAGTGATCTAATCTTAGATGCTATGTCAGCCGGCCCCTGCGGAGACTAAAATCCTTCTGCTGACCATGAACGTGTAGGCTGATGTCTCCAAAGGGATCAGAGCGTTTGCCTTGTGGACAGTGCTGCGGAGAGGTGCGAATGGATGGGGATGGATCTCACAGGAGGGTGAGAGATGGTAAATCATGAGACCATGGGCTGAGGTACCCTGTCCTGTAGTCCCTTGCTCTCTGGTGCTTCATTCCTTCTTCTCATACGGCCTCCTCCATAGTGCCTGCTCAAGCACTTGCTTGGAGGCCTCCTGAGCCACAGCTAGTTGCATGAATCCAGCTGAAACATAACTTTTTCTTTTTTACCTTTTATATTGTTTGTGTGGGGACTGAAATAGTTAATGCATAACTTTTTTTTTTTTTTTTTTTTTTTTGGACAGTGAGCTTTCAGCGCCATTTTGCTCCTAACGTTTTGTTTGAATCCCTACTAAAGATAACTTGAGCACTGGGGAAATGCTCTCTCTTATAAAAAAAAATAAAGTCAAACCTTGATTTTACAGGAAATGTTTGCAGGCTGGTATTGTCAAAAAAAAATAAAAGAAACTGTCTAGTTCTGTATCAAAAAAAAAAAAAAAAAAAAAAAAGAAAAAAATCAATCTTCTCCAGAGCCTGGGTTGGTAAATAAATCAGGAGCAGAAGCTGCTGTAAATTAGAGAAGCCGTGTCGCGCTGGCAGGCCGAGCTGTGGAGGCCAGTGACACCTCAGTGGCACTGCTGGGAAGCGGATGAGTTTGCGCCCAGCGGGGATCGCGGCTGCATCGCTGGCAGGAGGGCAGGGCCCCCGCGCTGCCCGTGGCGCTCGCGGGCCGGCCCCACTGCTCGCGCTCC